GAGGAGGGAGGAGGTGTGTGTGTGTTGGGGGGGGGGGTTGACTTTCAATATTAAGTGCACATTAACCTCTGCCCTAATGTTTTCAACTGCTCTGTCAAACAGAATGAAAGCTAGCATAACAAATGGAAGTAGGAGGTACAGTTTGGAAGATTGCTGTTGCACAGTGAAAATGTTAAACATTATATAAATATTCAGAGTAACAGAGTATTGCTATGGTAACATCAGTTTTCAGAATTGCGAATGTGCTTTCCTCTCAAAGGGGGGTTAGAACTGCACAGGATACATAGTGCTGATGTAACATTAAAAAGTGATTGCACCCTGAATCTTATATAACTTTTTTATATGTAACCTTTCTTTTTAAAGGTTAAGTGCTATATTATATTTACAGACTTTCTAAACAGTAGAAAAGACCTATGTTAATTACTGTCCATTGTAACATAATTGACTTAAGTTGTCTTAATACTTAAGAAACTGAAGATTTAGTTCCAGCTATTGTGTGGATCATCAGCACTGTGCATGCGTTTGTGTGGTTTTAAGAACGTAATCTCTTTAGGGCAGGGACTGTCATTTACCATGTGTATGTACCATGTCTCGCACAGTAGGGCCTAATCTGGGTGTTTGTTGCCTTTGGGTGTTACCACAATGTAAATGTTAAATATTGGTACTGTCAGTACCACAGTACTGACCTTCAGCACAGACTTAAATTGTAGTCCGGGTTTCTGAGCATGAAAAATGCTGTTCATTCTGAACTGTACAAAAGGTATGGTGGTTGTCAGGTGAGGAGACATTCCTGCTAGTAACTTAATTATAAGGCCATTAATAATAATCTTAAAAACAACAACATATCACATGGAACCTCCAAAATTAATGTACATGTTGAGTGTATCTTGGAAAAGTGCATAGTCTGATTTGTATAAAAGTTGTGTTTATGACTTCAATAAAAGTCTACATGATAAAGAAAAATTGAGCACAGATTGAAAAAGCTAGTTCATTTAAACCAAACTATACTAATGAAGTAATCATCATTTGCAGCTTTGGCACATTTTTATTGCATTTATTTATTGTTAATTATTTATTGTTAATAATTCAACCTACATTTAAAAATACTTGATATTTAATAAAATGACTGGGTGAATTAACCTTGGAAAACTGGCAGCTGTATTTATTCCAACCACCATTAAAGTTATGAGAGTTTTCATTCAAGAGCTTGAATGAAACACACAACCTCATGCTTGATCTCTGCCCAAAGATAGCGGTAGTGGTTGCAATTTATTTTTATTATTGTTGAGCTGTTTTGGAGCATAGGACCTGGGGGGAATGCTCATCCCATTATTTTTTTTTAAATAAAGCAAACAAATAACCTCGCAGCCGAAACAGGGAAGCTAGCTGTGAGCTGAAAGGTAAAACTTGGCATAGAAATAGCCCTGATTGAAGGACTAGTGCCCTTCCTTTTTTCAGAGGAAATAAGTTTTGATTTGAAAATCAGATGATCAGCATGTGCAAGAGAGTTCTGTTTAACTTGTAGTGTGTAAGGAAGGGTCTGCTGTCCGTGTGTGTGCGTGACTCTATCTTTAGCTGCATAATGAAAGTTCTAGTCAGGTATATTGCTGCTAATTATATGACATCTGTGGCTGGAGAAAGGATAAATGGAGACCTGATATTTCCACAAATATCAACGGGGCCGGCGGTGCTGGGCCGGGGCCGGGCCGGGGGTGCTGCGCCGGGGGTGGAAATATCAGCGAGTGCTTTCTAAACAGATAGTTTCAAAGATGTATGGGAGAGGACTGTCTTCCCTGATCACTTTAGAAGTACTGCAAGAGTTACTCTGGAGAGAGCTGCCATGGGATTTGCATGTAGATTATTGCAAGCCAGCAGTCTCTCAAAGTCCTTCAAAATGAAGTGTTTTCTGAAAAATAAAGCCAAACTACCAACCAATACCAGATAGAGATTCCCTTTATGACCCTTCCTATTTGCTCTAGTGACTGAACCTTTTGCACTGTAGACATATCTGATTCATGGCATGACGGTTAGGAGTTCTTAGGGTTACCATATTTTGAGTGTCCAAAAAGAGGACACTCCACGGGGCCCCAGCCCCGCCCATGCCCCCAGCCCCAACTCCGCCCCTTCCCCAAAGTCCCCGCCCCAACTCCGCCCCCTCCCCTGCTTCCCGCGAACATTTGATTCGTGGGAAGCCTGAAGCAGGTAAGGGGGCAGGGTGTGGGGAGGAGGCGCGGCCCAGTCTGGCCCCCCCGGCGTCTCCAGCCTGGGTCGGCTCGGGCCCTGGGGTGCCGGCCCCGGGCAGCCCCCAGCCGAGCACCCCGGCCAGCACCCCCGGCCGGCCCAGCCCGGCCCGGCCAGCACCGCCGGCCCACATGTCCTGATTTTCCCAGACGTGTCCGGCTTTTTGGGATTTCCCCCCGGACGGGGATTTGAAGCCCCAAAAGCCGGACATGTCCAAGAAAATCCGGACATATGGTAACCCTAGGAGTTCTGAGCATAACTTAGCATTGTTTGCTATGAGTATGTCTGCACTGTGAGCTGGAAGTGTACGTTCCAGTTTGAGTGGACATACCCACAGTAGCTCTGATTGAGCTAGTACTCTAAAAAGAGAGTGGCTATGGGGGGGAGAGGCTAGCAATTCTGAATTCGTACCTGTCCGAGATACTAAGCATGTATTTGGGTGGCTAGCCCTTCCCACTGCTTGCACCACTGCGGCATCTCTCTGTGTTTAGCATGCTAGATCTATCAGTAGGTATGTCCATTTGAGCTGGAATTTATACTTCCAGCTCAAAATGGAGATATATCCTATGTTGTATGGTATCATATTTAAGAGATTATGGAATTGTAGACGTCTCTGTTAGGGGGCTTATTCCTTCATCCTCTCACTTCTCGCATGGTCCTTCTCGCATGAACAGAGAGCAACAATACCCAAAGTCCAAAGGCGCAAACAGTTCGATGTTTATTGGGGTGAACTTCCAGCAAGCATGATTCCAGTTTCCTTCCTCAGTGTCCCCCTTCCCAGCTCTGACACCACAGAGCCATCCCTGTTCCCATTCCCCCCACCCCCCGACTTCCTGATTGACTGCAGACTATGGCCTTGGCTACACTGGCGCTGTACAGCGCGGCAACTTGC